AAACGTTTGACACAATTACCCCTATCCCTCCAGCTTCCTTGACCACTTCACCTTTCTTGACACGAGCATTCCCACCTCGGTCACAAATCACTATTTTCCCACGTACCAGTTCTTTGTCAAGTGATTCCGGCATGCAAGTGGCTGCTCTCGAATTGCTAAATATCCCTTGCGAGGCATTCCTACCATGGATTAATGGAAAGAATTTTGTTGCTAGGATTGTTGTGCCACTTGAAACAGATGCCCCTGTGATTACTGTGCCATCTTCCAAGATCAGATCTGCGGGAAACCTCCTGTCGATTGTACTTGCACCGACTGTTGTTATCCACGGAGCTGTGTTTGTCACCGACATAACATCAGGACCTCCATTACCTGCTGAAGCTGAAACGAGAACACCTCTTGTCATTGCTCCAAAAGCTCCTATAGCTATGGGATCAAGATGATATGGCCTGCTTCTGGAGCCACCTACGGAGATGGAAATGACGTGGACACCGTCTTCCACAGCCTTATCTAATCCAGCGAGTATGTCTGATTCTCGACAATTCTCTCCCCAACATATTTTGTACGCAGCGATTCTAGCTTTGGGTGCCACTCCGACAGCTACTCCTTCTCCATACCCGAACAGTGATGCATTAGCAACGACCCTTCCAGCTGCAGTGGAGGCTGTGTGGGTGCCATGGCCATCGGTGTCTCTTGAAGATCTAATCTGAGCTGAGCTGTTGGTTTCTTGGATGCTTGCCTCAAATCCAGCAGTGAAATATCTTGCTCCTATTATCTTCTGGTTACAGAGATTTTTGGTGAACTTCTCACCTTCCATGCACTCTCCTTTCCAATCCGAAGGGATTGGACCAAGATCTTGATCATGGAAGCTTGATGCTTCAGGTGAGATACCAGTGTCCAAGATGCCAATAATGGCATTAGAACCATAATCTGACTCCTTCAATAGGCCATTAGGTTCATTGCTATCAAGCCCCAGAAACTGAATAGATCGAGTAGTATGAAGCTGAAGAGTTTGGTCAGGTAAAACAGCCATGACGCTTGGGTGGTCTTCCAGTTCTTGAGCTTCTTGAGGAGTCAGTCTAGCTGAAAAACCATGGAAAACAGTCTTGTAAACATGAAGGAAGTCTTGGTTTGGCTTTTTGTCACCTTGGACACTGTTGAATTTGTTATAATCCGACTTTCTTGAATTCAAACTTCCAAGGGTTGCCTTATACCAATGCTCTACATCAGCGAAAACAGATGGTTTCAAGTCGTTTTGAATCCTGACTATGAAGCTTTGGGTTTCATCAAGCTGCATAGAATTTGCTATGAAACAACAGACGATCGAGTAAACCAAAAACCAAAACCGACCCATCTTGGTAAAAAAAGATTGATCGATTATCAAAGCTACGCGTGTTGGTTTATAATGCAAGTGAGATTGTGAAAAGCATGAGCTGGACTAAGAAACCCACAGAAAAATACGAGGGTGAGCATGATTAGGATAAAAAAAATGAAGTGCGTGAATGCAATGTTGTGTGTTGGTGTCTATTTTAAGCATTATAACGTAAGATACATCTCACCCTTATCCTGTCGCATAGTTATAAATAGTTATAAATGGTGTAAACATTTCCAATGCTTTTGTCAGAACTGACAGAAAGTGTCCAGAATTTGCCGCAAAAATGACCAAAGATAAGTGATGATGCATGCAATTTTTGTGCCCTGTTCATACACATGTTCGGGCCATGGGTAGTTTGGGCTTTTGCATTTTTTTAGGCTGTTGGCCTGTTGCACTTTTATGTGTAAAGCCTTTGTCGTACAAAGGCCATAATTAATGCAAGGGCAGTTTTAGACTTAAATAATATAAACCAATCAAATAGTAGAAAAATCGAAAAGCACCCCTTATAATCTAGACTTTGACATTTTGGGCGTGTTCGACTAACCAGCTGGTATTGTTCGACTAACCAGCTGGTATTGGGTAGTTTGTAGCGTTTTGTTAAACGCTAAATGAAGTAGCATTTATATTTGTAACGTTTTGATTATATTAAACGTTAGAAGCTTGTAGTGTTAAATGAGATATTTTGTTTTAAACGGATCGTTTTGTCGAACACGCCCTTTGGGTGTAACTATCAAATATAAGGTGTGAGAATATATTCATCTTATATTTTTCTCCTATATTTTTATGTAATTCATGCTATTATATTTAAAATATAAACAAATACATCAAAAATAATTATAATATTTGATTTTATTTATTATTTATTGTACGAATACTAATAATTAGCTTAATCTTATACATTTCTATTTTATATATAATTACTATTTACTTTATTAAAAAAATATTTTATTCAATTTAATATGTTTATAATAGTTTTTTCTGGTCAAAGAAAATACAGAAGATATAATGATAAATTATTATTAAAGCTTAGGATAAAACGAAGGAATTGTGAAGTACCGTGGAAAATGGGGTTGAAATTTAACGTGTGGAAGTCCATTATCCAAAGAAGGGATTCTAACTTGTAAGACGTAAAGGATAAGTATAATCTGATTATGATCCAAACAATTCTGCTTGCGTGTCTTAGAGATTTTTTTATTTTATTTTATTTTATTATAACTTAGAAAAATCAAAAAGTTATTTGATAAATGAAAAAGTAAATTTAAAATTATTACCAAACTAGGGTTTGTAAAAAACACAAATAAAAAGGAAAAACAAAAAAGAATCTCCAATACTTTTTAAACATCATCTTTTCGAAAAATATCTTTTACAAAGTTATTTTACAAAAAATACTTTTTCCTTCGAAAAAGTAATCACAAACATCTTTTTATTTGTAAAAGTTGCTTATTACAATTATTATGTAATTTAACCAATGCTTTAAAAAGTTTGTTTGTTCTGGCTCCGTCATGTCGTGTTATGGCTCCAAAGTTTCTGTCTGTCGCTAAGTTTTATCAAAACGTCGTATTAACTCAAATATATATATATATATATATATATATATATATATATATATATATATATATATATGAATAATAATACTTGATAATACATATAAAAATAGTAATTATATACAAAATATACGCCTTATGCCACGTTGTTCGCCAAAACTCAAAGCATATTTTTTCTAAAAAATAAAAATACAGAAATTCATAACTTTTTATCCTTTTTCCAATAATATCAAATTCGGAAAAAAAAATCGTTAAATTCACATGGTGAATCCGAAAAATATATTTAACATTCTCAATTTTATGTTATGAATTTAAATATTTTTAGTTTTTTTTTTTTTTTTTTTTTTTTTTTTTTTTTTTTTTGATAAAGAATAAGCTCTAGAACTTGAGAAAAAAAATTAGTTCCTTGGAGAACCAATAATTATGGTTCTCTATTTAACTTTTCTATATATATATATATATATATATATATATATATATATATATATATATATATATATATATATATATATGGAACGGTTCACTTGAGATTAAAAATAAAATAAAGATCTTGAGATTCAATCTCAACCATATATTTCTCATTTGCCGCGCTAATGTTCCAACGTACAAGCAACAACGGGATATGCCTAATCATAAATGATTATATAACAAAGAGATATAATCATATAAGATTATACATGTTTATACACATATGTCTAATCATAAATGATTATACATATATGTTTGTTCACAGATTGAGTAATCATAAATGATTATGACAGTTGGTAGCAGAAGAGGTGATTGTGATAGAGTTGGCGGTGATATAAGTATCAGAGGTGGCAGTGGTAGGGCCGGCTGGTGTCAGAGGTGGCGGTAGTGGTGGTGGTAATAGTGGTTATTGTTGGATTAGTGTCTAAGCCCGTAACCATATTTGTCAAGTACTTGACCCGATTGTGCATGGTCCTTTTGGGTTACCTTCACCAAAGCAACTTGACTGGAGAAATAATAGAGAAAGAGGTTATTATGATTTACTAATATGTTATAAGAATAATATATTAAAGGAGAAATCATAATTATTTAATTAATATTGGTCAATAATTAGTAAGGAATTAATTTTGTGATCAAGTGTAATTAATTAAACTAGAGGGGCTGAATTGTAATTATGTGATAGTTACACAATATGGTAATGGTTATCCTAGATATAGGTTGGACGAATTCAAGGGATAATATATCCTTGAAATTGTCCAAAGGATAAGGATAAGGGTTTTCAAGGCTTATCTTATGGTTACTTGGTGGGCAAGCAACTAGATAAGGATAAGGACTGAAACCCTAATCTCTACACCTATATAAAGACCCCTAAGGCCATAAGAATTCGTCCATGCCTTGTCTAGGGTTCCTAAGGACGAATTTCACACCTCTTCCTTCTCTCTATTACCTCTCCATTTGCTCTTGGTGTTTGTGAGCCATTAGAGGTATTACACTTGTGGTACTTGCTTTCAAAGACAAGAAGGTTCAAGATTTAAGTTGTTATTACAATATAACAACAAGAGGTATGTATTTCATCTTTCCTTGAGGATTTCAAAATTCCTAGAAGCCTTTTAGGGTTCTTTAAGTGTTAATAATGTTGTATAACTAATAGTGATAACATAGATCCAACTCTAGGGTTGCATGCACACATAGGATTGTTTGTACAAAAAACATATCAGTGGTATCAGAGCCTTAGGTTAAATTGTTTTCAATTAGTATTATACAATTGTATGAACTTGACATATAAGGGTTTACAGCCAATAAACCCTACGAGGCTAGAAATTTCGAGATTAGGGTTTCTACACCCTAATTTGCGAAAATTTGAAAGGGTTTTCAAATCCTTTCCTTAAGCCTCAAGATTTCGAAATCTAGGATTTGCAAAACCCTATAATTTTCGAAATTAGCCTCCTCCACATGATAAGATCCTAAATTTTAGGGATTTGGATTATCCTATATCTTGTAATTATCCTTTAATGGTTATATATGGTAATTAAAGATTTTGAATTATCCTATCCCATGATTTTCGAATTTTAGAGGGATTAAAAGGATTAGGATAAATTAATTGTTTAATTGGTAATTATCCTTCATGATTCAAATAATCCCTTATGATTTAATAATTATCTTGAATTAAACTATTAATTTAAATTATTAAATCAAGAGTTTTAATATTTAAAATTTTAATTTAAATAGTATTAAATTTAGAAAATTTTAAAGTGAGATTAAAACCTAATTGTTTTGAAAAGTTTCAAAACTTGCCCTCAAGTTTTGGAATTTAAAAGTTGATTAAAAGTTTAATTTAGGAATGTTAAATTCTAAAACCCTAGTATTGTTTTGAAAAGTTCAAATCACACCCTTATGGTTTTATTAATTAATTAAGGTGTATAATTAAAAGAAGCTTAATAAAACCATAAAAGTTTTGGTTTAAAATTAAAAGTATAATTGTTATATTTGACCACCTAACATTTTAAAAGTGTAAAATACACCCTATACTATATATAACATTAAAAGTCTAACATTATATATATGTAAGAGTAAAAGTCAGTCTTACCGTTAGTAGGCCTCATTCACGAAGCTGGTCTATAAGGGGTGTTTAAGGAAATTGCCTATAAAATGGCGATTGAATGGGTATCCACTCTTACCCACCGCACTCTTGACTAGTGGAGGGTCATTAGCCGAACGGGTAGGATAGGACAAAAATTTCCATTATAAGTATAATGAAGTACAAAAGTAACTAAATGTTTTACAAATTCCCAATCTTAGTTACTTAGGCAAAAGTGAATTGATGCAATTCCATGAAATTACACTTTGTGCCCTTGCAAAGATGTTAGTGGAGCGTGTGTGGTTTACCGGCACACTAAATGGTTCTAAGCAAAGGTAGCAAAGGGTGACTCAATGTTTGTCATAGTTCGGTGGAGCGTGTGTGGTTTACCGGCACATCGAATAGGTGACTGTAACATGTGAGGGCACCATGTAAGTTTGCATAGTTATTCACACCAGCTTTGTGATCCTCGGCATCCCAGTCACAAACAAGAGGGGAATATCGAGATTAAAACATGTCATTGAAATGTTCAATGAATCTCATAGGATCTAGGAGTTTTCATAGGTTTAAAACTTAAATTTCTTTTTCGTTTTCATGGTGGAAATTAGTGAATCGTCATTCACTTACCTTCAAATATTCTGCAATTAGGGTTACGGCATCCCTCTCCCGAGTTGTAGAATATTGTGTTGGGTCCTAGCCTTAGTATATCATTTGGGTGATTTACAAAGGACTCAATCAATCAACTAACTTGAATTTGTTTCTCCCGTTTTGTAGATGTCTAAGTTCGACAACTATGGTCTTCCCAAATCCCATGGAACAAGCATTCCACATGAAGATGGTATTCCACGATTCGATCGAGGAACAAGAAATCATGCTTCACTTCCTCCACC